CTGAGGAAACCTATACAAAGAAAAAATGGTTGTTGTTTTTTTTCTTCTAACCACAATTTACCTTTTCTTGTTTACAGAATATATCACAATCACAAAGTTTCCCAGAAGGCTTCATAGTAAATCCAAACACAGCTGATGATACTGGATCCTTCTTGTTTTTCATTTCTATTCCATTACTCTGTGTTTTGCTACAGACTAATACAAAGATGCACAGTAGTAAAATAATACTTGCATAAATCACAGGAGTAATGAACAATTACAGCATTTTTTTTCCTGGAGAAATGGTGTTAATTATGTCCAATAAATGTGTTGTTTTTTATGTTTTCCTTTCTTACCGCATTTTAAAAATGGTTATACTTCTTGTGTGCCATCCAAACAACCCCCTGTGTCTTGTCAGGATGAGATTGATGGAGTAATTCTAAAAGAGACAAAAAAACAAAACAAATAAAACCAACATGTGCACTGTACATTCATAATGCAATTCAGTCACTTTGAAGATATTTGTATGTATACTGTATTTCTGGTGAATACACGAAATAGTTTCTCTTTTGCTTTATGTGGTAACTTCAAAAAGACATACAAAAACCAAAGCAGCTTTATATCTCTTTTAAACATGGATTAATCAGACTCTTGAAATAAAACCAAGTCATCAGGTGATTTCTGACACCTGTTAAACAGATGAAGATATTGTCTTTTTTCATTTTCTATCTTTCAGGACAGAAAAGGGAATTTTCTGTCCTTTCGAAGCAAGTCTGCGATTTACTATTTGTGTTCCCAGAAAGGAGTACAATTAAATTGAAATATTCTGCTCATCATTCACACAAAATTCTGTTTAGTGTTGAGGTCTTTTCCTTATTCATTTCCTTATATATCCATAAATATGCCCATTACTACCCCCAAAAAACTTAATTCTTTGTGCGTAATTAATTAAGGAGAATCTATTCCTCTGGGGTCAGGGGAGACATCAGGGGTTTGCATTGTCACTTTGGTACATTTATAGATATTTTTCATTAGCTCAAGTAAGCCTCTGTTTTGCCAATAGTTGCTTTGGTTTTCATTTTAAACTAGGAAAACAATTTTATAACTTCTTCCCAGAACAAATAGGTGCTTTGGCCTAATTCCTATTATTGTGAGGTAATGATACATATACAGCTGTCTAAGCTGATGTCAAGAAATTCCATTTCATGCTTCATTCCTTTGGCTGGGAAACCGGAATTGAAACTGTTTAGGTGACAGTAATTATGAAAGTGAATTGCCTCCTCACTTGGGTTTCAAAATAAATACTTAGAATATGTTCCAGTTAAACAACAGAAAGAGTAAGCTCTGGTTTTTTGTTTAAATCTATCTCTCTTTCAGTGCTTCCAAAATCTTTTGATCTTTTAATCTTGGAGATCTATTCATGAGTTATGCCGAGCAATTATTGTCAGGGACACCCTGTTGTTGAGTTGTCTCCAACAATACACCAATAAGCAGACAGAGGAATAAACTCGCAAATTGTGTCCATGTTTTCCAGAATGAAAGTATAATTAGTGTACAACCACTTGTTTGATTCTAGTTTCACACACAGAATTATTATTTTTGAATGTTGTACAGAGTTGTACAGTCTAGTGATTATAAGCTAGGCAGGACTGTTTTGAACTTGGTAACTGTCTGGCGCCATCTTTGAAGTAACGTGTTATTATTGCAACCACAAGAGCAGAGTTATGAACCCAAAACATTTGTATTATGCATAAAATTAAAACCCTTTATTTGATCATAGTCAACCATATCTCTATATCTCTTTTAAAAACATACAAATGTTGGGGTGAATGTCCTATTCTTACAAATGACTAATGTTATGGTGATCTGAGATTGTGCTTTGCGTCTTGCAATTAAATGTCTGACCAATTTTTCACTATTTTAAGGTAGTACTCTAAAGTGCCAAATTTCAGATAAAAACTTGCTGTGAAACTCACACTAGTAACGGGAATTAAGCATTCAAGATACCCCTCTAATGCTGCTGTATTGTTTTTAAAGATCCTTTTAAACCATGCTGCAGGGTAGAGGATCCAGTTCATTGTGGTTAAATGAAACAAAAAGCTCATAAATCAGTGGAAAGCATTCAGCAGTTTGTATTTGGAATCCTTCTTTGCAAACGATTGGTGTCTGGAGTGCATTTTTCACAATTATTGTTGTTGTCAGAACACAAAACTGAACAATTGAAAGAGAAGGGTTTATATTAGGCACCCCCAGTGAAATTATTAGGCGTTCTGAGTGGCAGACACTTGTCATTGGTTTAACGAGCATAAGACAAACCCCATCACCTTCTCCAGCCAGCAAAATCCTTAGATCTGCATCCCCAGATCTTAATCCTACTGAGAACTGGTGGAAGCAATGGAACATACATTTTAATCCGGCGCACTACCACCCTTATCTAAACATTGTCAGAAGGTTAGAAGAATAAGATGGGAATGGGCAGCAAATATTTCAAAACTTTAAGGAATACATGCCACATCCTGTTCATGTTGTTCTTGCTATTTGCTGAGGCCAACATGTTATTCAGCTGGGGTTCCTACTATTTCAGCCAGTGAGTGGGTAGTCCTGGCTACCCAGAGAGGACAATCTGTGCTCTCACTGGCACCAGGGAGAAGCAGACACAGAGATACACTTTCTGCTGCACTACAAGAATAGAAATTAGACAAACATTCTTCCTTAAAATAACGACCTTAATCCCTCATCTTTCAGAATCAGAACAGCTTCCAGTCCTAGTGGGGGAAGAGGGGCAGGAAACTCAACAGAGTTGGGAGCGCAGTATGCTATCTTCCATCACAGTCTGAGGAACAGAGAGTGTCTCTTAAATGCTAAAATTCTGACCCTACCTCTAAATAGGCAGCACAAGGGATCTAATCGACAATATTGGTCAACACATGGAGTTTTATAACAGAATTTTTTAACATTTGCAAACAAAAAAACTACACCGCAATCCCCCTCAATGTGCTAGTAAACACTTAATAACACAATGAGGCCATTTATATACACACATTCCCCTAATTACAGTGAGAATGTGACTTCTGAACCCTACGACAATAATGTAATGAATTTACTAATTAACCCAATGTGTCTATTTACAAATAATTCAATCCTTTAATGGCCTCTAGTGGCAATTAGTGGCAGAATTGTTATTGCTTTGGCAACACAGTAATTAATCTATAATGACAATAAAGCTAATTGAATTTGAATTTGTAAGCTTCTTTGAACAATGGTGGTGTGAAACTATGACACTCTATTGGTGTCCTTCTGTCCCTCTGTTTTATTTAATAACTGTTGCAGTCATTTATGTTCATATGTCGTTAATTCAGTTTAAATGGATACCAATTAGGTGTCAACATGGCAAAGTAGATCAATAAACCTTTGGGCCTGCATCGTACTTTTGTACAGTACCGTATCCAACATGTAACACAAACACTATCTTTTGACAACAGTATTCTGTAATTACAGTACTATGTAATATGATTATCAATGGCTGCCTGGTTTACTACAGTCTGGGGTGGAAAAAAAAGAGGCACATATTTGAATCTAGAAATGAATCTCCAAATGTGTGATATTCTGCTTTGAATAAGAGAGTGACGGTCATACTCATTTCATGAGTACTGATGCTGGACCTTTGAAATTGCCAGTGATATCATGTCCACATGCAATTCTTTCTTAAAAAAACTGAACTGCTCTGCTTTCCAGTTCCAGTCAAAGACAGAGCCTGTCTATGTAAAACACTCAAATGAATCCCTGGGCAGTCATGCAAATCAAAATGATTTAGAGCAGGGCCAAGGGAATCTGGAAGTACTTTAGCCTTCTTATTCAATTTCCTTTCAAATTCGCAGGCTGCTGATGGTAAATAATTGTTTTCATTCAAATAATGATACTTTCATTACCCTTAATGTCTTTAACATGTCTGAGGCATATTCAGATTTGCTCAAAGTTTACTTTTCATTTAGCCTTGCTTCCGCCAAGGAATGGAGGAGTGAAGTCTAGTCTCCCTGATGGTTAAAGAAATATTACACTTGATAATCCAGTGCTTATTCTGTTGCAATAGCTGCTGTTTAAATAATGCCTCTAACATAGAATATAATGTAAGTCACAGGTGTTTGAGCATAGCGGGCTCAAAAATGCCACCTTAGGAGCTTTAAAGGAAAATGGAGAAAATAAATAAATGTGACACATTGTTAATTAGGCACCTTCACTTTATAGATCCAATTTGACAAATCCCAGGGGAGGAGAACCACTGAGAGTCAGAACAATTGACTGTGAAAATTGACTTGCTAATTTTATTTTAATAACCACATAACGTTTCACTTATTTTGGGGGTAGAAAAGCCTACTT